TAACATTGGGAAAATAGCTGATTTTTTTGGGTTGTTCTTTCAAATGAAAAATCTCTGATAAAGTTTGAAGGAAATGAACTGAAACAATAGCAGAAAACGAAAACTCCATTTAACAAAAGGAGAGAAAGAGTCGAGAAACCATTAAATAGTTCCACAGTCACTATGAACATAAAGATTATATTACAAGCCTTCGACAACATATATTACAAACGTTCAAAAAAACTGGATGTTTTTGGGCTATGATACCTAACCTTAAATTCTGTCTTCAACTTTTCAGTGGACAGCTGAACTGATTAAATTATAGGGGGAAAAAACAAAAAACCACACACACAAAATCAGGACAAAAACAAATTAAAGATACTCGACAAGCTACATTATGGTCTTTATATAGAAAATCTGTTCTATTAGCATGGAATTCTAAGAGAAGGATCTGGAGAATTTACAGTTACTGCTTTTCAGCATTATGAAGTTAGCTACACGGAAAGCTGTGTTTCAACTACCCAGCATTTTAGTGAGTGTCTAGCATAGGTCTGATGTCTATAAAAACTGAAGTCAATCAAACAAAAATGCAAATACTAATACCCTCTGGAAATTTCAGTTGCATGGTGGGGGGAACGAATTTAGTAGAAACATAAAACAAAACAAAATCCTAACCAAGCAAGAACAAAACAATGAGAAGAAACAAATGAAAGATGTAACACAGCAAGGGAGAAAAAAGAAATTATGGATGTCTATAACAGCAAGCGTGTGCAATATAGCATTATTAAATGGCCACGCAAAGAATTAAATTAGATGATTGGCATTGCATACATATGGTCTTTTGTAGTCATCTTTAACCCATGCTCGTGAAGCTGTGCATCTGCATGCATTTGTGCATTAATCAGCTGAATCTTCTTCATCAATACCTAACGTTTACAAATTTTTAAGATGAAAGCTGATTCAGAGCCTATCTAACATTTCAGCACCAATATTAACACAATAAAGTACATCTACAGATATTATTTTACATTTTGCAGAGACTTTTTAAATTATTTATCTGTATATGCTAATTGTCAGATTTCAAAAAAGGGAAGAAACCACACAAGCAACATTTGTGTAGTAAATCTACTATGAGAGATTAGTTAAATGTTTTTCTCTGCTCCCAAAGCATGTTTTGCTTTTTAAAGGGTTTACAGTGCAATCCTAAATCTGTTTACTCAGAAGTAAATCACGGCGATCTTATTCTCAGCATGTGTGCATAGAATTTTGTCCTTAGAAGATAAACAAAAGTATTAGACACAGGATATATATATTTCTTGTCCAAGGCAGCCTTTCTCCGTGGCAAGTACAAAGACTAGCGCGGCCACACTCAAGTATTTATTCTGAGCAGAAATACAGCAGAACAGTCTGATATGTTTCCCCAGGAATAGCATGATGCCTTGCCAACTGTAAGAGCAATTGGAAAAATATGGCTGCTGCATGAGTCCTCTGCTGTTCCTATTGCCCCCACCACAAAGGCAGAGAGCTGAAGAATAAGCTCAATAAAACGTTCAATAAAAATGTTCAATAAATGTTCTTCCCCATAAGAAAGAATTCCATGCATACAGAAGATGACCACATCAAGGAGAACAGATGTACTCATTTTCTACAAGCACAGAGATTTGTTGTTGTTGTTTTTTATCATGGGGAATTATTAGGGACTTGGGCTGCCTGTGCCCAAAAAGAACTCTAGCACATAATTTCACGGTATAAATAAATACCTAGCATTAATGCACTTCTTTAGACTTTTTAATGTGCTTCACATACGCTGCCTCAGAAACCCCTATAGTACCAATATTGTCAATGTAATTGATTGCATGATATTTATAATATAACTTAAGGAGAGCTCAGAAGCAGTACCTGCAGCAACCACAATACACACATTGTGGTTGCTGCAGGTGCTGGTTGTGAGTTCTCTTTATTTTAAGGGCCAAGGGTGAAGTATGTATTATGAGTCCTGAAAGGAAAGACAGAAGAAAGATTCTATGCTAACTTTGTTGCTTGTGTCCCATGCCAGCCAATGCAGCTCCTTTAGCCTTCATCCTGCCTTTGCTACTGTCTAGTAATAGTGCTTCAAGTCCCAAAGTACAATGCAGTCCTCTTTATGTAGAGACACATGTTGTTCCCTGATCCACCACAGTGGGTGTCTTGATAGGAACACAAAGCAGAATATTCCTTCCAAACAATAACATGGAAACAATGAGATGTGGCTAACTTGAGTTTTCTTTCACTGCTAACATCTTCTTTCCTTGCAGAGCTTTTAACAATGTCGTCTGTACACTGCTCTGGACAGCAATTAAGCCCTATACTGGTATAATGCAGAGGTACATTAGTGTAGCCCTACCAGTGGCACTACGGTTTAAACTTGGCACTGGAGCATCCATGCTGGTGTTATAATGGGGGACAAAGCAGGGAAGGAATGTGGTGTATTCAGCCTCCTGGGTACTCTCAGCTGATCCCCTGGCATTGGCATAATGTTGTTTATGTGTTTTAATTGAACTGCATTATGATTTTAAATAATATTCGACATTTTTATGTTCACCGCCTTGGGGACCCAGATTGTGCGGAAAGGCAGCATAAAAATGTTTGAAATAAGTCAATATAAAATAAATAAATATAAAATAAATTATGCATGCAAAAAGGGACTCAATGGGAGTGAAAAACGAAGCCCCAAACACCTCTCCCCATGACACGTACACAGGCATGGCACAGATTTGGATATTAGATCTACAGACACTCCCCATCCCAGTCATTCCCTTTCCCTTACATATGTTGTAGCCTTTAGATTGTAAACCTTCATATGAAGTTCATGCATTTTTCTCTGTATTTCTAACTATAAGCTTTCCAATAGGAATAAATAAAGTGAATGAACACAGGTGGCTCATCAGAGGGGGAAAAACATTGTCAAAAACTAAAAGCTCTAAACACTAGTGGCCCTTACACCCCATTTTTAAAAGAATAGTTTTTATCTCCTCCAAACAATTGGGATAATAATGAGCAGCACATCAATCTCATGGGCATTGATGTTTTCTGTGTTGACAGCCCCACATCTGGAGCTGTCCCATTTCACCCCCAGTTCTCCTCTCAGCCAACAGCATATGGCTAGTAGGGTCTTGTTCAGCATGTTGCCTTCAGGCCCCACAGAGGCACAACTTCCTACTTACTGAAGTCTGTGAGAAAGCCTTCGTAGCTGATGGGGAAGGCAAAAATGGGAGGGAGTCAGCAGTCAGTCACCAACACAATTCCCATCATGTTTTCTACCAAAGCTACAAGAAGGCTTTCTTGGGATCTAACATCCTTTTGAGTACTACAAATCTATGCAACTAGAAGAAGAAGAAGAGATTGGATTTATACCCCGCCCTTCACTACCCAAAGGAGTCTCAGAGCGGCTTACAAACTCCTTTCCCTTCCCCTTCCCACAACAGACACCCTGTGAGGTAGGTGGGGCTGAGAGAGCTCATGACAGAAACGGCTCTTTTTTCAAGAACATCTGTGCCAGAACTATGGCTTGCCCAAGGTCATCCAACTTCTGGGAAATGACAAGTGAGACCCACAGTAGGGCTTGATTACAACACATACATATTCTACTGGCATTACTCTGATTTGAACAACAGGCCTAAAGATGTATAATTTCTGAGAATTATTTGGGGGGGGGTAGGGTTGCCAGTCCCTGGGTCCTGGCAGGGGTTCCCCTGGTTTTTGGGGCTTCTGCTCATTGCTGGCCACCTGGCCGGTGGGGGAGAACCCACCCCCAAACAGCAACATTGCACAGCAACATCCCCAATGCAATGACGTCACCCGGAAGTGTGAAGATGCAAACCTGGGTCTCCCAGATCCTAGTCTAAAGCTCTACTACACTGGCTTTCATGTTTTATGCTAGCCACCAGCACCAGAAGAATGAAGAAGAGGTGGGAGAAAAAAAAGATTGGATGTATGTTCCCTCTAAGCTGCAGAGCCTTGTGAGCAAAAATGCTACTTTGTGAGCTACTGGCATTAAAGTTGTGAGCAGACGATTTGACTACTGCATACATTAGTTTGCTCTGGAGCCGTCCTTCCTGAGCTAAGACAAAAATCTGTCAGCTGGAGGCTAAAAACCTGTGAGCTAGCTCACACTAACTCAGCTTAGAGGGAACACTGGAGGTAGTGGAGAAAGGGAAGGACTGGAGGAGGAGGAATCAGGAACAAACACCTGTGGAAAGAAGAGGGTGCAGATCTATAGGGTAGGAGGCAACAAAGCCAGAAGGGTGAGTAAAGCAGGGAGAGGAAGGATGAGTTTCCTCTCCCACCAACTGCATACAGCCCCAATGATGCCCTCAAAGCTGGGTCTCTTCCCACCTTTGCAGGAATCCTTTGAGTGGAAAGGGCGGTCAGTAGGGCAGCCAGGATTGTCCCAGCAGCTTCTCAGTGAACCTAAGATGCCTGCAAAACTTGGAGGCATGCTTGTGATAAAGAGGGGCTGCCTGCTGGGGTTGTTCCCTGGCACAAGTGAGACAAAGAAGAATGACTCCCCCCATTGGGAGGAGGGGGGAAATGGTCTGAGGGAAACGAGAAGATTGGGGATGGAGAGAGTCAGGGAAGATGAAGTAGACAGTTGTTGAATAGGGTAGGGAGAGGTATGGTATGGATGGATCAGATGGATGTGAGTAGGCAGATATTGTGAGGAAAGGGAAAAAACCCGAGAAGGGTACATGAGGGGAAGCAAAAACAAAAACAAACTCATAACATTTTATTGCAAGTCCCAATTTGTCATTGTCTGATGCTATAGTATCCTTTCGTCTTCAAAAGCATTTTATTCATTCCAGAAGAGAAAATATTTCATTGGTTTCCCCACCCCCCATGTTTACAGTTCTTCCATTGGGGAAAAAACTGTATTGCAACACCCCTCCCCCCAAATATTTCCAGACTTTCCACATACCTAGGCAAGTCTCACTTGTAGAAGCTACATTTGGTACATTTCTAACAAGACAATGTAAGTTTCCTACCTGAGCTGATATGGGGGGATCTTGGTAGCAGCATCTGAAGATTCTATAGCTTCTGTATAGAAAAGGGAAAACAATCAGGATGGGAACACTGTCCAGATACAGTACAACAGGGCTTGAGAGGAGGTGTTCCACAATCTCAGTACCCCTATCGAGGAGGCCTTCTGATTGTCTCCCACTAAATCTCAGATGGTATAAATACAAGGAAACAGACCTTGGAAAATGATCTTTTCCATCTACAGTTAGTTCATATGAGAGCGAGAAGTTCCTTAAGAATCCTGAGCCCAGACCCCATAGGTTAAAAGTAGCTCTTTGAAGCAAGCCCCATAAACAGACAGCCAACCAATGACAAACTGTAAATGTTATTTTGTTCCAAAACCAGTGCAAATACAATATTTAATGCCTAAGGTACAGAAATATCTAGCTACCAGTGTTCCCTCTAAGCTGAGTTAGGGTGAGCTAGCTCACATTTTTTTTAGCCTCCGGCTCACACATTTTTGTCTTAGCTCAGGAAGGATGGCTACAGAGCAAACTACGGTAATTTATGCAGTAGCCAAATCGCTCGCTCACAGCTTTAATGCCAGTAGCTCACAAAGTAGAATTTCTGCTCACAAGGCTCGACAGCCTAGAGGGAACATTGCTAGCTACTACCCTAACCAGAGCACCCTGCCATACTCACACAATTACAGTGGTTCAGCTAATTAGTAGGATTTTCAATGGATCTTTGTAGGAAAGGTAAAAATTTTAATGTGCGCTACATTTGTGTGTTTAGAAACATAGGCAAAGTTAGTTAGTGAAGACAAATTAAAAATAGAGCACAAGAGTATGATCGTGTGAACCATGACACTGGAGCGTGGGACTACATTAAGGAAATTTAAAACAAAATCAAAAACTGTTATAAAACTGTATCATCTTCACATAATCTGAAAACACACTAGCACATTTGTATCGCTGATCTTGTCAAAGCCAGACTAGATAATGGCCTGTGTACATATTTACTAAGAGTTTGCGCTAAGTAGTATTTGTCTTAGCCTGCAGCTAACCTGCATTTGGAAATCAGTGTAGGTAACACCTGTCCATATGTTTGTATATGCTTAAAGTCAACTGTCTCCACCAAATCCTACAATGATGCATAGGATAACAATTTTATATCAACATGTCTGTTGTTGCTATGCACCAGCCAAACTAACCTTTTGCATTACGTTCCTCCCCCTTCCAATCTGTCTACTTCTCATGGTTCAAATATGAAAAGTATTTTCCACTGAAATGGGGTATGATATGAAACTTCACCATAAATGTAGTGCTGCAATCTGCAATTTTTATCCATGAAAGTATGTCTTCTTAATTTTAAGAAGTGTTTTAAAATGTAAATTAGAGCAAAAGCCAGTCACTATTCAAGGGGAAGTACTATAATAAAAACATGCCCATTAAAGTACTATAAGCACAGAGTTCAATAGACTGTTGAATTGTACTCAGCATGGGGCTGCTCTTGGTGGCTGCCCAGAGGCTTCAGATGGTGTTGCAAAATGCCACCACCGCATTTCTTTTGTTTTCTTTTCTTGGGGGGGATATTTTGTCTGTGTGTGTGCACGTGTGCATGTGCCTGGAAGTCATGGCTAACTTCTGGCGACCCCTAGTGGGGCTTGGAGGCAAGGGTCGTTCAGAGACCCTTGTGTCATGCCCTGGTATTCCTTGGAGGTCTCCCATCCAAGTACTTTCCAGAGTTGGCCCTGCTTAGCTTCTGAGATCTGACAAGATCAGACTTGCCTGGGCTATCCAGGTCAAGGCTAAAGGAAATGTTTTTACTGGCACTGGAAGGAGTCAGTTGCCATTTGGAGAAAGGCTGGTTTTCACTTTTGTTAATGGTAAGAGGAACTCTCTAGTCAGTCTAACATCGTGGGTAAAGGGTGAGACTAGGATCTGGGACCCTGCTGTCATGGAAGTCTGCTGGGTGACCCTGGGCCAATCATTCTCTCAGCCTAGCCTACCTCATTGGGTTGTTGTGAGGATAAAACAGAGGAGAGGAGAATGCTGTAAGCTGCTTCCATTTCCCCACTGCAGAGAAAAGCAAGGTATCAATATCTAAATAAATGCCCGTCTCAAAGGCACCTTTTCCTAGCTTCTTGACAAGCATCAGTTTCTCTTCTTGAGGTAGTTTCGTGCTTGTTATTGTTTTAAACAATTCGTAGAGACTGCACACCCAAGTCTTGAAACAATAAAGATCACTAACACTTAGGGTATGATCCCTACTAAAGTTAAGTACTTTCAGTTCCCATTTATTTCAATGGAGACACCTAAGCATTAAGTTACATTTGCCTTATGAAATCAATCGGATTTAAATATCCTTAAACTTCAGTCCTGTCAGATCTCAGAAGCTATGCAGGGCTCGCCCTAGCTAGTATTTGGATGGGAGACCTCCTATGACGTGGAGGCAGGCCATGGCAAACCACCTCTGAAGGGCTCTTGCCTTGGAAACCCTACGTGGTCACCACAAATCAGCTGTGACTTGACAGTAAAAACAACAACAAAACCTTACACTAGATTGTGCCCGTTATCTACAGGGCTACAGTCTGTGATGGTTCGCAATCCCTTGAAAAGTAAAAACAAAACCACATGGACACACCCATCCCTAATCCAGAAGGAATAGGAAGAGAAACAGAAAATGTTGATTATATAATTACAAACAAGTGGGCAAGCATATATATCAGAGTATTAACTAGTGGAAATGTTACAAAGCACAGGGAAACAGTGCACAGCAATCTACAATTTAAATGGCATCAGGCATTTTAACTTTACTTGAAGTAAATGCCTGCTAGCAGAAAGGTGGCTCAGGGTATGTTTTTCATCCATTTCTGTAGTCATCCCCCATTTGAGTCTCTGCAATTAGATGCCCCTTTCACATGACTGGATAATGCATCTTAAATAAACCCTATTTTTATTATTTGTACTTTGCAAAATGGAAATTGGGTTTCACAAGAGAGAAGCAATGAAGCCTTTCTACCCAGCAGCACGGAAATCGTAAGTTAGCTGCCCTCATTATGTCATTAGGCTGTCTTTAAAAATTCATTACCTACAGATTCACTCTTTTGTATTAACAGCCTGTCTTGCTCTGTTCTATGGTCAGCTACTGTCCCTCAGTTCAGTCAAACAACAGACCGGTGCCAAATCCGGATCCTAACCTTGGCTGCCTGTATTTACTTATATGGAAAAAAACAAATAATTACAAAATTGACTCCACAACTTCATTTTACACACGGAAGAGCAAAAGCCAGTAAGCAGTTGATCTTCCTATTAAAGCACCGGCAGAGTGCAAGGGAAATCTTTATAACAAAATCTTATTAGAGGTGGAAGAGCCAAATTCACCCAACAGACAGGCTTCTCTCTGCAGAACAGAAAAGATTTTCGGGGTGGGGGAGGAAGGGGAAAGCTTTCAAACAATATTAGGACATCCCTAGAAGCAGCTTGGCAAACGGGACTGCTCCCCTGGCTGACCTTCGGCGGAAGAGGCCAGCGGCACTGGCTGAACGCCAGCAAGGAGACCGATTAGAGCCTCGGTCGGAGAACCAGAACTCGGACACGAACGAGACCCGCAAAGATGCCTGGAAAGAAACCCGCCGGTTCTCTCCACATTTTCCTTGCCCGGGGTTACCTTTTAAAGGGAATGAATGCTTCCTCCGACTAGGTATTGGGGAGGGGGGGGTAGTGACGGGAGGGCAGGCATCCGCCGTGCTCATCTGGGTCACAACAGGGGGAAAGGGGGCTGCTGTCTGGCCCCCGAGCTTTGCGCAGAAGGGAGAGGGGGCGAAGGTGTCCCCTCCTCCTGCACGTTTCCTTACCGGTGGCCCAGGTGCAGCTCTCCTTGATCGCCTTGTACTTGTTTCCCGACGCTTCCTTCTGCAGCTTTCGGAGGAGTTCTTCCATCTTGCCTTTTTTTTTTTAAATCCTGGCGGCTGAGATACCCGAGAACAGCGGCGATGCCGGGCGAAGGCGCGCGGGGGGTGTGCGTGCGTGTGTTGGGGGTGGGGGGGTGGCGGCGCTGTTCCTGGCCCCCCGTCCAACCTCTACGCCGGGGCTGTGCGCAGCATCTTGCCTCCGGCAGCCCGCTCTTGCCGCTGTTGATGATGAATCATGCTAAGCTCCGCGACGAGGCCACGTCACTCGGGGCTGCTCGTGCCTCCGCCTCTGCCAGTCCCTGGCTCCGGTTCCTGCGGCGGAGCGGCGGCTGGGCAGCCTCAGGCCTCCCGACACTACACAGCTCCGCCAGCCGGAGGGAGGGAGGGATTGGAAAGACGCCACGGGTGCCGGTGGCTCCCAAGCTGGGTGGCTCAGAACCGCTTGCGGGGATCAGGCCCCCGGAGAAGAACACGACGCGGTAACACCACGGCAGGGTTTCATTTCCAACACTCCAGCCTGCAAGGGCTGACCTTTGCTCTGGAAGCTCTTTCCCTGGCGCCCTATAGAATGGCCATGGTGGGGAGGAACCCTGGGCCTGCTCAGAGACCATCTCGTCTGGAATGAGCAGTCTTGGCCTCCTCTGGCAAAGACTCACTCTTGAGTAAGGACGTTTAATCATAATTACCTTCTCCAGGAAGGATGGATTGACAGGGTGGCAGACTGGTCAGGGTTTGCTCTTAAGGAAGGGGATGGCTTGAGGTTCAATAGCCAATATTTTATTGAATGGAGGAGGTGTCTACATTTTCCCCTCTCACTGACCTAATATCTTGACATAGCAAAAAAAAAAAAAGTGTCCCCTGAGATGATAAATCCTCATGCTAGCTCTAACCCCCGAGCTAGAGCCACTGCAGGGTAGTCTGAGGAGACCCAAGTTCAACCTCTCACTCATGCCATGAAAGCTTGCTTGGTGACCTTGAGCCAGTCACACACTCTCAGCCTAACCTGCCTCACAGGATCATTGTGAGGATAAAATGGAGAACAGGGTAATCCTCTTCAGGTCCCTACTGGGGGGAAGGGTAGGGTCTAAATGAAGTAACTATTTAAGAACTACCAGATTCGAGACAGAAGAATGGCCCACAGTTACTCCATTCTAGGTAAAGAAGTTTTACAACAAGCTGCGTTCCAGAGGTCAAATAGAGTTTCACCAAAAACTTCTTTCTACCAGGGACAGTATCTGATGAGGGTAGGGTTTCTAGGACTCCCCTGAACACTGGCAGGAGATGGATAGGCAGGGTTGCCAGATCCAGGTTGGGAAACTCCTGGAGAATTGGGGATGGAGCCTGGGAAGGATGGGACCCTCCGTGGAATACACATTGCCAGAGTCCACCCCAGCCCCGTAGCTAGGGAATTTGGGGGGGAGGGGGCCTCGGGGGGGCCTGCCAGCAGTGTTCCCTCTAAGCTGAGTTAGGGTGAGCTAGCTCACAGTTTTTTAGCCTCCAGCTCACACATTTTTGTCTTAGCTCAGGAAGGAGGGTTCCAGAGCAAACTAATTGATGCAGTAGACAAATCACTCACTCACAACTTTAATGCTAGTCGCTCACAAAGTAGAGTTTTTGCTCACAAGACTCCACAGCTTAGAGGGAACATTGCCTGCCAGCTAATTAAATGAAAGTACAGTGCAGGTGGTAACTTAGAGCACTTTGGGGGCAGCCCAGGGGAGGGGGCCCAGAAGATACACTAGGAGGCCGGGCCCCATGTTAGCTACGGGCCAGGTCCACCCTCCAAAGCAGCCATTTTCTCCAGTGGAGCTGATCTCTGTAGTCTGGAGATGAGCTGTAATTCCAGGGGATCCCCAAACCCACCTGGATGCTGGCATCCCTAGATGAGGGCCCCAGTATTCCTCTTTACTTACTTCAGTACTCACAGCATTTTGTTTTAGGGCTGGGAGACTGTCCACTGTCAAATGACTGCCCTATTGGATGTTGTTCTAAGGACTGCATCAGATTGTTAAATAGGTAGGGAAAATGGATTGAACAGCATAATTTAATTGCAGCAGAGCTATGGATTGACCTATGCAACAGAGATTAGTCACCGATCACTGTTTGTTTTGAACCACCTGAAAACAAATTAAGTTAGTAAGAAATATTTATATGTAGTATCATTAAAAGTCAGGGTTGGACTTCAAATGTTCCTCCTGCAGGAAAAAACAGGATTGTCATCTAATATAATTGTCATCTAATTATATATATAATTAGTTTTGTATCTCAACTGTAGCATCAGTCATGTTCAGAAATGGAATAGACCTACATGTTGAAGACCAGGGCCAAAGTCATGACAGAACCCCATAAAGGTTATTACAAGGATTTTGTTCTTGGTTTTTGGTCCCTGCCCCAGCCCTAAAGGTGTTTTTAAGTAAGTTTGTTTTTAATCCTGTAATGTATTCAGCCTGACATGCCCGGACTTGCCCGGGCTGGCCAGGCGTAGAAGATGCTCCTCCTTGCCATGGTAGGCTGCTGTGATCCGTAAACTTCTGGTCCTGCAGACTGATGGACCCTTGGAAACTAAGTGAGGAGTTTCCAGGGAGTCTGTAGTGATTGGGGAAATTGGCAGAAACCTTGAGGAGAGGAGGAGGAGATTGGATTTATACCCCGCCCTTCACTCGGAGTCTCAGAGTGGCTTACAAATTCCTTTTTCTTCCCCTCCCCTGTGAGGTAGGTGGGGCTGAGAGAGCTCTTTCCAGAACTGTTCCTTGATAGAACAGCTCTGACACAACCATGGCTTGCCCAAGGTCATCCAGCAGCTGCAAGTGGAGGAGTGGGGAATGAAACCTGGTTCTCCCACATTAGGGTCGGCATAAGTAGAAGTGCTGCTTGCACAAGCAGAAGAAAATACAGGATCCAATCCCATGTCCATGTGGAGTCCCCTCTTCTTGGATGCTGCAGACAAACTGGAGGAAATAGAACTAAGTGAAGTGCAGGGAAGTCAGTTCCCCTGTCTTACTGGATTCTGAGCAGCAGGGAGTTTATAGTTTTGCAACCTTATTAGTACTGGCAGCAAAAAATATGTTGAATGTATTAATTGTGTCCAGTACTGCACATATATTTAAAATCTTTCATTTGACTAAAAATTAAACAGGATCCAGTGGCATCCTTTTATGCACTGGACTAATATGCCTGTTGTTGTTAGCCATTCAGTTGTGTTCAAGTCTTGGTGATTCTATGGGCCAGCTCTCTCCATGTTTTCTGATCTTGTACTGTTTCTTTGAGTTGTTCCATGCTCAGATTGGTGTCAACTTTTGTTGTCTAGCCACTGTGTTCTTTGGCGCCCAGGTTTCCTTTTGCCACTAACCAATCCAAGCATAATTGCTTTTTCTAACACGGCTACCCCTGTGTAATTATAAGACTGTAGCTGGTACCAATAGCTGGGATTATTTATGTTTATACAGCTTCAGGGGAAGCTGAAAGTAAGGAACTAGAAAATACTGAAAAGGAATATTGTGTACTCCACTTAGAATATCAAGAGGTTTCCATGCTCAAGAGCAGGTACATAGACTCTGTTTCATGGACTGCATTTCAAAAGGCTGTCCCTGCCTCCTGCTTTCAGAAGAATATGCTCCACTCCCATCCCCCCAAGAATCGGCATCTGCAATCAGTGGATTAGGGCTTCCCAGTAGCCCACTCATAGGTATAAGTATAATGCCCCTGCAGTGAAATATGTGTGTTTCTTTTATAAAACTAAAGTCCATTGGTACCTCCTTAAACATTGAAGAAGACCAGTTTCTAGCAGCATCCATTTAGCTATCACATATACAGTATCCCTTTGACTGCTATACCATCAACCTTCCAATTTTTATTCCAGATAAAATCTATCTGTGCCTAGTATAAAAGCACATGGTAATTATTCTCCTCTTACTAGCAGGAATTGGTGAAGCACAGTGAACAGAATGGCAGTATGTCATCACCAGTAGCATGATAAAAGCCTGCTTGCAAGGAAATAGATAGGGTTCCATACAAACTCATTTATCCTGTGTGACTGCAGGAACAGATTTATGCATTTGCTTAAACTACAAAAAAATGTTATCAGCACTGTCAGAGACCCTGCTTTTGTTGTTTATAACCTTCCTTCTTACTATTAAATTTTCTCAGAGAATTGAGATTTACACACCTAACAGTTTACGCAATATCCAACCTTAATTAACATATCACTTTCTAGTGACAGATCTGACTATTTCATATGGGAAAATAGTACCTTAAAACCTGTATTAATAAAATGCTTAAACTCCTTCTCAATCTTCTAGTTTATTTATTTATTTACTTCATTTATACTTTGTTTTCTTCCCCAATGGGGACCCAAAGCAGTTTATATCCTTCTTTTCTCCCATTTTATCCTTACAACAACCCCGTGAGGTAGATTAGGCTGAGAGTGTGTAACTGGCCCAAGATCACTTATGGATTGCTGAGCTCCAGGTAGGTCCTGGAGCTCTCCCAGAATTACAACTGATCAGTTCACCCATAACATTAAAATACAAAAAGGTATAAGACAAGGCTGCCCATTATCGCCTTTGCTATTTATATTTACATTAGAAACACTAAATGATTTAGTTCGCAATAATGAACAGATTAAAGGATTAAAGATAAAAGATGATGAGTATAAATATGAATACCAGGCGTTCACAGATGACCTGGTATTTATCCTAGAAGAACCAATTACCTCAATACCTCACCTGATAGAAACAATACAAACATATGGGCAAGTGGCAGGTTTAAAAAGCAACTATAAAAAAAAACAATATTATAACCAAAATCTGCACACGGAATGAAAGGGAACAAATACAGAGAAATTCCATGATGGAAATAGCCAAAAAAGTGAAATATCTAGGTATCATAATATCTAATATATATAATACGCTAATGGAAAGTAATTATGAAAAACTGTTGAAGGATATCAAAAAAGACTTTCAGATATGGAAAGATTTGAATCTGTCATTCATGGCAAGAATTGCTACATTAAAGATGAATGTACTACTT